CTTCTCCTTACCAGAAAGAAAAAAAGATGATGATGATGAAGAAGAAAAGAAAACCCAGAGATGGGTCTGTAAAACATCTATGAAATTCTATGCGTCTTCAACGAATGTTTTTTGCTCTATAAACTCATCTCTCAGTCCCATACCTACCCTGATGCCCATAAGAGTAGGTTGGCAAGACCGAACTCTTTGCTACAGAACTTTATTTGCACTTGGAGGCAGCCACAGAATGCAGAGCCCCAGCACATCTGCCCACATCTGCATGCTCTGCCACCAATCCATCCTGCCTGTCACAGGAACCAGGCCAACGCAGCAGGGGTGAGCAGGCGCCTCCATCTGCCTAGAACAGCTAAGGCAAAAAGGGCTCAGTCCTGGCCTCCCTCCCACACCTCCCCATATAGAAGCATATCTACCTTTTCATCCCAAAGCTTGCAGCCCAAACAGGACCCAGAGCCTGGGAACAGAACAATTCTGGGCAAGCTCGCCTCTGCCTGACGCTGTCTTCTGGTTCTCAGATACTTTAAAGGTCGGTGAGGTGGCTACAGTTTCTCCGCTTCCCTTCTGCCTGGGTTGCGCCCACTCTGCCCCAGGACTGCGACGCAGCTGCAGTGCGCAGGGCTTCAGGCGTAGTGCGAGTCAGGACGGTGGAGAGCAGGGGCCTCTGCAGCAAGTACCCCGCCCACCCCTACTGGCCCCGCCCCTGCTGAAGTTGCAACAGACCGTTTTGCAACTAATCCGATAGAAATAGAATGTAAGTCACATGCATAATTTTTAACTTTCTAGTAGCCTCATTTTAAAATGTAACCAAAAAAGGATGCACACAACTTTAATAATGTGTTTTATTTAACCCAACATAACCAAACTATTATCATTCAGCATGTAATCAGTATAAAATATTATTAATGAAATATTTCATGTTCTTTTTGACCCCCACAGTCTCCAAAATCTGGTGTTACTAGACATCTCAATTTGAAACAGCCACATTTCAAGTGCTCAAGAGCCACAAGTGGCTAGTGGCTACCATATTAGATAGTGCCAATCTAGAATATACATGAAAGTCTGTATATAATTGCACTTACCATAATTCTGCTAGTAGTAGCAACCAACTGTTAACATTTGGTTATATTCTCATGTAGTCTTTTCCATGTATAGTATTAGTTTTGCAAAGCTGAATTCATAAGGCCTACAGGACTTTATATCCTGTTCTTGCTGTTTTGAGTATCTTCCTACATCATCAAAAGTTATTCACAATCATTATTTTTAGTGATAATATCACAGACTATTCCATCCCTTGCATGTGTCCTCTTTTTAACCAAGGTCCAAATGTTGGAAAGCTGCAATTTTTCATTATTACAAGTAATGCTGAGATGAATATTTTGGTCTTGCTTGTGCTTCTTAAGGCCTTGATGTAAATCTCTTTAGTATTCTAGCCATTTTTGATAAAATAATTTTCAAATATCATCAATCGGTCAAAGAACTATCCACAAGTGATTTATGACTAGGAGCTGGGACACCTTGGTTTCTCATCCCACCCCTTTGATACCTGGCTCTGTAACATAGGGCAGACCACTTCCCTCTCCACCAGAGTTGCTCCATTTCTAAAGCAAACTGATTGTATTAGACAATTTTTAAGAGTCTTTCGAGCGCTAACCTTTAGTGATGTTTTCCCTCGCCCTCACATCTAATCAATTAACCTGTCAAGCTAGTCGTTACAAGTCCTGCAAGTCATGTCAAAGCCACCTCCTAGACATTTAAAAATCCATCCACTTCTCTCCATGCCCACTCAGAGTGCCTCTGTACAAGCTTCATTGTCGCTCATCTAAATTGTGATGGGGGTAGCCAGCACAGAGAAAGATTAGGTTCTCAAGTTAGCATCCAAGTCCAAAAGCAAGAATAGGATTAAATGAGACCCTGTGTGAAGGCATGGGGCTGGCACAGGGGGGATGCTCAAGGAATATTTGCTGCATTTGAATCTGAAACCAGCTTCAAGAGACCCACCTAGACCCTGTTCCGGAAAGGCTGCAGAGGAGGGAAGCATCAGAGGTGCCCTGCTGCGAGCCGAGCCCTGCCCCAGACACGGGGCTGCGGGAAGACAAAGACAGCAGCCTCCCCTAAAGGGCTGCTGGTCCAGAGGGGGGACAGGAACCCCTGTACACAAAGCAAGCATGCCGCAGGCGGTGTCTTCAATGGAGAAACCAGATGGAGAACAGAACAATTATCTGAGCCATTCAGGCAAGCCTGCTGCTGAGGAAAAGGCTGAAAGAAATTTGTTCTACTATTTCTTTTGTGAACCGAGGGGGTAGGGCAGCCTGAGGAAGCAAAGTTCTTCTGCTCTGGAAAGACCAGAGTTCTGGCCTATGCTCTATGATCTTAGGCAAACCAGGAAGCCACTTTTCCATCTCAGTACCTTCATCGGTCAAATGGAGATAGAGTAATACCAGCATTGCCCAAAGCTAACCACCTACAGGATTGGGGTGTTGTGAGGTTGAAGACAACGATTATGAATGGGGAAAACAGGTATGATGTGGGGCAATCTAATAATAGCTGCATCGGCGACTGAAAATGTGTGTCCTAAGATCCCACTCCTCTAAAAGGAAATGCTTAGTAATCATAAATAACATTCGCATAGAACTTTATCATTTGTAAGGCAATTTCATGTGTATTTATTTTATTTTGTTTTCAAAATCTTTGGTAGGTATTATCATTTGCTCCTTTTACACTTGAGGATCCTGAGATTGAAGGAGCTTAAATAACTCATTCAAGTTCACACTACTTGAGGGCCAGATTTAGGCTGTGCGCCTCCTCAGTTCTCTCTTTCCCCTACGCTGTGCTGCCTTCCCATTAAAATCCTGATCACCAAAACATTAATGTTATTAGCGTAAATATTAAAAATGGGTGTTAGATACATTTCCCTTTGATCGAGAACATTAAAACATCAAAATAGAGGCTCTTGGGAAAAAAAACAAGCCTGACGCGCAAGAATAGCAAAGTTCACTTTCTCGTGTTAAGGAAAAGTAGCTGTCTCCATCTGATTTGCATTTCATGCCATACAGCAGGAAATATTTAAGTTGACAAATAGGATATTTACAGCTGCAACAGATACTTGGCAGTTAGTTTTTAACAATTGTTGCAAATGTGATTTATTTGCTATTATAAAAGGGCATTACTGTGCGAATATGACTCCTGAAATTAGCTTCAGTTTAGCAAGGGGCCCTGACAGTTTGACCTCTTAATATCCTTATAATGATGCCATTTACAGTCAATGCTTACTCAAGTCACTCACTGCTAGATTTGTTTGAGAGGAGTCCACTCTAGGGCAGATATATTATGTATTTTAACATACCGAGTTGGTGTATGGGGCACATGTAGGCCTTCTAAGACGAAAAAAATGTTTAATCAAGTCTTCACAAAAATGTGTTAGTTTCCAACTTCCTACAGTGAAAATGCATTACTGCTAATTACAGCATACTCCAGAAATACAATACTTCATGTTTTCTCCACAAGACGTTTCCACGGCATGGATTATATTAAACAAGAAAGTGTTTTGATTCTCTGCAACTTGAGCTTTTAATTTGACTGGGAACTGGTACAGGGTAAGGAATGGACGGGCCAGGAGCAGTGCCATCTCCTCCATCAGGGAATGGGAAGAGGGTGGACTTGGAGCCAGGCAGAACTAGATTCAAATCCCAGCATGACCACTTCCTGGCTCTATGGACTTGGGTACCTCTCTGAACCTCTGTTTCTTCATCTACGATGTTTATTTTTAGGTTATTGTAAAGATCTGAGGTGTTTGTGAAGCAAGTACTTGATACGTGGGAGCCAATCACGTTTGTGTTGCTTGTCAAAGCTCAAATGTCACCTTGTTCGTGATGCAGCCCTGACTTCACTAGACAAAGTCAGTCTGTCCTTTCTTTCTGCTTCAGCAGTACTTTGTTCCGTCCCTTTATTATATCATGTATTACATTGTGTTGTAATTAATTGAATACGTATGTATTTGTCTTCCCCTTCTTGATGGCAGGACCTGAGCCTATTTATCTTAGACACTTGCGTGACTAGCATAATAATACACCTTGAGCATTGAACCAAGGAGGATTCTGGGGTGCTGCTGGATTCAGTGTAGGGATGGGGGTGACGTGCGCAATTAAGGATGGTCTGCCGCAGGAGAGGGGAGAGGTGGCACATGACCCACTTTTGCCATCGCCAGTTTAGCACACGGTAGATCCTCAGGAAACATGTGTCAAAGGAATTGATGGACATTACTCAGTTACCTATTAGCTTTCTGTAGCTGATTGCTCACAAATGTCTATTTTTCAAAGCATTTTAATTTTCATTGCACCATCATATTCCTCTAATAATGCTGTGATTCAGCCGGGGTGGGAGTTTTCACTGCTTCCCAGTTGAGGATACTGTGACATCGTGGGGGTAGTGAAGAGACTTTCCTGCACTCTCCTAGCAAAATGGTGGTACAGCTCAGACTTACAGGCCAACCACAGGTTTCCTTAAGAATCACTGAGAGGCCCAGGGAGGCCAGCTGGCACTGCTTTTTCTGAAATCAGGGCAAATTGCCCTTTTCTCATAATTACTCATTCTCCCCCTCTCTGTCTGCTCCCTTTAGTCTCCCGCCCTCTGAAGCTCCTGTCCAGCCTCATTTTTCTCAGTAGAAAACATTGCCCTGACCGTCTTAGAAACGGCAAACCACAGGCAGAAAAATCAGAGTCAACATAAACCTTTCAGAACCGCTGCCTCCATTAGACTATCTTGGCTAGGTGTTTGCGTTTGTGTAACTTCCCACAGGAACCTTGAATCTTCTGTTGAGAATCAGACTGGGGGCTCCACCCTTCAGCTGAACGAAGGAGAGACAGAAGCAAAAACATCTATTCCATTCAGTCACGTGTTCACTGGTTTAGTTGGGTCTGGTGTGGTTTGGTCTCGTCCTGGGAGGCTGAGCCTTTCTCTCCCGATTGCTCATCTCAGCCTCACTTCTACGGCTCCTGTTTCACCAGGTGTGGGCGACAGGCCTCAAGCTCTCCTACAGTGACCAGCTGGCCCTGACTCAGCTCACCTTATACCTGACCAACGGCCATCTGGATTGCAGTCTAAGCACTCTTAACGTGCCCTGCTTTGTCCCCAAGAAAGAGAAGAAAACGAGACGCCTTAATGCCCCATCAGTGCCGGTAAGCACCAGACGCCGCCTGATTCTCTATGGTGTTCGGCAACACTCAGCCGCCACTTTCTGAGCCCGGGCTGCGTGCCAGGCTGAGTACAGAAGGAAGAAAGACCCTCAGGCAAGTCACTTACCCTCTCAGAAATGGGTTTCTGGAATACGAATGTATTGGTCAGAGGAAAGGGGAGAGGGCATTCCAGAAAGAGGAAGCAATGTGTGGAAAGGTGAAAGAGCATGGGGTTTTCCAGGGCAAATCTGTTTGGGTGTTCCCCTCAGTCCTCAACTCACTTCCCTGGGCAGGTATATCTACACCCACTGCTTCAGTTACCAGCACCTTCTGACAAAACCCATAGAGTTCTAGCCCCAATCTCTTTTTTGAGCTTCAGCTACCTAGATCCAATATTCTACAGAACTTTTCTGCCTAGAGTCCTCAGGGTCACACTATTCCAAACTGAATTTGTCATGTCTCCTCTCCTTAGACTTCCTCTTGGGGGGTCAGGCCAGAGGCTGGTCAGACACCCCCACACCCCCTATTCCACATCCAGTCAGCAACCAGCTCACGCTGACGCGAGATGCTGTGATGCCTCAACTCAGACCCCTCCTCTCCCTCCACAAAGACTCTGCCTGAGTTTCGGCTTTCATCATCTCACACTGGTATTATGACAGCACCTCGCCAAGATTCTCTGCCCCGCTCTCTCCCCTCAGCCTAACCACACACACAGTCAAGGTGGTCACGGGCGAAAAGAAAATCTGAGCATATCGCTGCCCTACTTACAATTTTGAAATCATCTGTCATCTTCAGGAAAATCCCAGCTTCCCAGGCCCCAACCTCCCATCTCATCACTAGCCCCATCGCTAGGGTGGCTGAGGCCAGCAGTCCTGGCGCCCGTTGAGGTTTACCAAGCTCAGAACCCCGGGTGACAAAGGGGGCTGTCCGTGGGGACAGTGGGCTAGGTTGGGGAAGGAGAACAAAGGTCAAGAGGACCAGATGGCCCTTAGTGTAGGTGGGATGTGAGAGCAGATTGGGGCTCTCTGGCCACAGCTGCTCTGACAGCCAGTGGGTTTCCTCTGCCTTCTCCTACAATAGTGGGCTTCAAGCCCTTTGTGCAAATGAAGCTCTGCTTGAGATCCAAATATATCAAACAGATAAAAGAGGAATTCCAGTGGTTAATGGGGCTCCCACATGGGTGCCCTAGAGATATCTTTTCAGAGCAGTATCTCCTGTCTCTCTGCCGGGCCTCTTTGGGTCCAAGAGATGCTTCTGGATTTCAAGAATTCTTGTTTAGGGGGACAGCCTGGTGGTGTAGTGATTAAGTTTGCATGCTCCACTCTGGCAGCCTGGGGCTGGCAGATTCGGATCCCGGGTGCAGACCTATACACCATTTGTCAAGCCACGCTGTGGCGTCCCACCTACAAAATAGAGGAAGATTGGCACAGATGTTAGCTCAGGGACAATCTTCCTCAAATAAAAAAATTTTTTTAAACATCTTTGACTTTGCCCAGGGTCCCCACAGTCACTTGCCTTGGTAGGAACTCAGTGAACACTTGGAAGGGTAACCTGGAGAGAGTGCCAGACGTCTCGGGGTCTCAGGCAGCAGCCTCCTTCTCCTCCTCAATCCGCTTATCCTGTGAGGTACCCTTGCTCATGGGAACCCCCTAAATCTCTTTGCTTATTAAGAAGAGAAGCAGAGTTGGACTCAGGAGGAGAAACAGACCTCTTTTAATTAGATCCTAGAACCTCGCTGGGAATTTCCCAGGTCCGACCGTACCTGTGGCCTCCGTCCTCACCAAAGGAACCTGCAGGACCCTAAGTTCAATACTAGAGGGAGGGACAGGAACAAAAATGGAGTCCTTCTGGCCTAGAGAACCTAACTCTGTGCCATTTCGAAAAGGAAGCTGAGTTAGTATCCAGCAGAAGACTACCAAAGACTATTGGCTGCGCTTGAGCGTGTTGCTTCAGAAGGTGGGAAGCAGAGGTTGTGCTCTGCATCAGAGAGACACTCTCGCACTTTCCTCATCTCGCTTCTAGGTTTCAATCCTAGCCAGAGGTAACATACGAGCATTCTCCTGTGATCTAGATTCTTAAACACTTTTAGGAGTTGCCTGCACGCAAAAAGGAAGCATTATGGTCATCCATAATTCAAGTATCTACACAATCACGGAATAAAAGCTATGTAGGTTTTCTGATGTGGGGATAAATTGGTTTTAGTTTTAGAAAGATAAGTTGATGGTCTCATCCTGGTGCTACTGTGCATGTGTACACGGGCAATAGGCGATTTTTAAAAGAAACATGCACATTTGCACACACGGTACAATTTACAACCAAACTGAAGCTTCCTGAACAAGTGTGAACAGACTGCGATGCCGTCAGGTTTAGGATCAGTCAGTTGACAGCCCCCTTTGAAGACTGAAGAAAAAGGAAACGCACAGATGAAACCACGATGGTAATGAGGGAGCTTTCAGAACTAATGCCTATAAAATGCGTCCAGTTTGGGCCTATTCCCTTATATAATATGCTATGCAGGGGGAAAGCAAAAACTTTTCTGGACTCTAAAAAGAGCCGTTGTCACATATCAGAAACAGGTGGCAAACACCTGTCATTTAGACCCAGTCAGACCAGGTGCACAGGCTTCTCTGATCCAGTGTCCACCACAAATAACTGCGTGAAGGCAGATACAAGACCGGGTGAGTCCCAGACATGCGTGTTTTAGAAACGAAAAGGAGTCACCTAACGACTTTTTAACTTTTAATTAATGTTCTGTCAGAATGGGCATAAATTGTTACCCTTTTCTACCCGTCTTACTCCTCCTCTCTTTGTGGACCCCCCGCGTCATGGTTGGTAAGCAGCCAAAAGGGACCCTCTTTGCAAACATCTTAAAACAACCCAAGTCATTTATAAGCATTTTAACAGCACATGATCTATAATGAATGATTAAGTAAAACCTTTTGTGTTAAATTATGATGTTAATAATGATTCTGTCTCCTGTAATTTATTATGGATTCTCAAACGCTTCGGGTTTGATTTTGATAGAATGCAGCAACAACAGAGTTTATGTGATGACTTTATTTTTAGAACTCTTCTTTGAAGGCACACATTTTCCCGCTACTGCTGCTACTGTAATTATGTACAAAACCAATCACTCATTAGAGTTAGGATACATTATCTTCTAGACAGATGAGGCTAAATAAGCAACACATTAATAATTCAGAGAGCAGTTCATTATGCATCTGGATGCCTGCTTCGTAACTGAAATAAGAACCTCATCAGCCTCTGCCAACCCTTAAACAATAGTCCTGTGTTATTGCAACCACAGTCAAGTTTACGCTTGTTAAACTGCTACTTGGATTATTTTATCAAACATTCATTTATTTGTGGTCCCTCACTGCTGAGAACAGATTTTGGAAGCTCCTTTTTTAAGTTAATGATTTGAGCAATGGGTGTTATTAATTCTCAGAATATTATAAACATGATTAATTTTCAGGCAGAGATTTATTACATAAGGATTTCAACTATGTCAACGGAAATGCATCACTGTCAAAACAAGTATCATGGCGAAAATAGAATATGCTCCACACTTCAAGTGCTGGTGCTCAGAACTAAATCAATTTAAATTGTGGCTGAAGCAAAATTATATTCTCCAGTGAAAAGGAGTATTTCGAGCTTCCTTTATTTGGCTGGAAGCATTCTTGTTAGACTGTGATTTAGATAGGTAGTTTAATAAGACCAGACTTCTACCAATAATATTTTGTCTTCTCTTTTTTCCCCCTTGTTTTACTAGAAAAGGCGAACCTCTGAAATTCCCGCACATTCCAAATGTGGCCGGTGGGAATTTGGAGTGAAGAGCACTGGTCTGGAAGTCAGGGGTCATGAATTCTAGACCTGTCTCTGCCTCAGTTTCCTCATTTGTAAAATAAGGGAGGGCTAAATGACCCCCAAGGTCTCTTGAGGGATTTGACTTTATGGGGCCTCTAGAACGGGGTCTGTACCAAGCCTGGCCCAGCAGCCTCATGTGCAGCGTGGTGCTAGGGGTGGGGGCATTTCCTCTGAGGGACACAGGAAGGGCCCATCCCTCCCTTTTCTGCAAGAAAAGGTCTTTTTCTTGCATAATCTTTTAGAAGGGAGTAATATTGTTGTGACAGGTCATATCCTAAGTCCTCATCAGCTGTCACCTTAGCCATCAGTAAATACTTTCAGCAAGAACCAAGAAGAAGTAAATTCCGCAGGTATTAACTCAACACCTGCTTTATCCCAGGCTCTCGACCAAGCACAGAGGACATGAGGATGAGTAAGCACAGAGCTCCAAGTTTATCAAAGGACACAGACAGGCCAGCAGATAACTATAATGCATTTAATAACATGATAATAACATCCAAATGCATTGAGGCTTACTCCACATCAGGTATTTCATCTAAGTGCTTTACGTGAATCTTTATACAATCCACTATATTAGGCAAGTGCTGTTATTATGCTTGTTTTTAGATAAGAAGACTGAGGTTAAGAGATGTTAAGCAACTTATGGAAGGTCACTCAGCAAGCAAGTAGGGAAGCCAGGATGTCACCCCAGGTTTGTCAGACTTTAAAGCCTGTGTGTCTGACCATTGCACTATCCAATGATCCGACGCCAGAGTAGAGCCTCATTCTGGAAGAAGTCTCTGGTTGAGGCCCTAGAGAAAGCTCCTCTTCCACAGGCACCTTCACCTCCCTGTGTGATGAGGTTGTTTCCAGGCATATTGCCATTATCCACTGGCTTCTCATCTCCTCTGAGCTCAGCTGAGACTCAGTGAGCACTGAACAGACCAGATGGTCGTGGAGGAGTCTTCTGATGCTGCAAAATCCATTTAGCTTGTGATTTCCTTGGCAAACCTAAATAGAATGTACAGCATGAGAAGAGAGTTGATTACACAAGTGAAACTTTTAAAAATGATGTTTTCTATTTTTGTATAATACTTATACAGTTATATTCTCAATGGACATGAACTTATTTGGTCCCCGTGACAACCCCAAGAAGTAGATGAGACGGGGATTATCATACCCATTTTATAGATCAGGAAACTGAGGCTATGCAAAGTTAAGTGAGCTGCCCAAGGTCATAAAGTTAAGTGAGGAGCAAAGCCCAGGCCTTCTGATTCAAGCCCCTTTCAAATGAAAAGATTTATTGGTTGGTTGGTCAGTTTTTACTTTAAATTATTTACTTTATTTATGAAATTATTTAGTTTAACAAATGATAATAAGAGCTAACAGTTTGTGAGTGCATACTCTGTGCCAGACACTGTTCCAAGGTCTTTACATATTCATTTAATCTTCATGACGATCCTGTCACTTGTGCTATCAGGCTGGAAGACAACCCTGCATTAGTGACAGTTTTTTCTGGTAGCATCCATGGAGTTGGTTAAGACAAAAAACAAGTAGGTGAACCATGTATGTTCACCTTTATTGGCATTATTATAACCCATTTATTAAGCACTTAATATATGCCAGGAATTTCACCAAGCACCAAGGATACAAAGACATTTGGCAAAGTCCCTGTCCTCAAGGAGTTGAAAAGAAATGTAAAAATAGCACATTCACAAGGAGAAACCGCAAGGCCGCATTTCAGTGCCCTTTGAGTGACAGCCACGCAACCTGCTGCTGGAGCTCTTAGGAGAAATGAGTGTGGACTGGCAGGGACAGGGGACACTTTACTAAGAACACAGAACTTTGTCTGTCCTTAAAGACCAGGGCAGTCAGTACATAGTGAGGAGAGGGAGACCTCCTCCAGGAGAAGGGCAGAGGCTGAAGGGAGCTCGTGGTCTGTCAGGAGATGGCAATGAACCAGCTGGGCTGGGGCAGAGAATCTGGGAAGCGAGTAGTGAGAGAAGCGGTTGGAGCAGTCCACTGAGCAGGTTTGGGAGAGTCTGCCTGCCAAGCCACGTGTCTGGATTTCATCTTGAAGGCAAGGATGAGACCCTGAAGAGCTCCGAGCGTTGACTAACCTGAGTTTGGGAAACGATCAATCTGGTGGTAATGCTCAGAATCCCAGGGACCAGTCGGGGAAGGAACAGCCTGGGAAATTACCTTTAGTGCTGGTCCAAAATGCTCCAGGCCCTGGAGATGCTTTCAAAGAAACAGCAACACGAGTAACTACCACGTGTCAGGTGCCACGTGCCGTGGTAGGTGCTTATCTAATCATCAGGAGTCAGAGAACTTAAAGGACATAGTCAGATCACATGTACAGTGAGTGGCCTAGTCAGCTCTGAACCTCAGTCTTTCTGACTCCATATAACCTTCCCACTACAGAATTCTGTTTGCATCTCCATCTCCCAGGCAGAAGGAGAGGCAGCTCTCCAGGCCATAAAGGTCTGGACTAGGATGGTGAAAGTAACGGAAAAGACATAGCTAGGAGACATGGACCAAATATCCTGGCTTTTCCTTCAGATTCTTCATGAATCACAAGCCCAGCTCTGGCAGGAGAGAGAATTGCATCTGTCTCTGTAGAGAGGAAGAAACCCCAGGATAGCCCGTCCTTACTTGCCGTCCAGTAATACTGGACAGGGAGCTCTTCTGTCAGGCTTTGGAGCCAAGATACAGAGCACTGAGCTGGATCCTGCGACCAGATGCCTGCCTATCTCTCTCCCTCGCTCACTGGGGCCTGCTCTTGGGTTTGCTAGTTTATATACCATGGCAGCATAAGACAAGTTTAAAAGACAAAAATAACCTTGGAATTATCTTGTGAATTCATGGTAATTACTATGCAATTACATGCTCAGTAACCACAATGGAATTCCAGAGTATTTACAGTTCATTTCCATGTACAAAAACTCAGGCTCCTGGGCCTTCCTCGTGAAGGTAGGAGCGTGGCACAGCCTGGCATGGCAGGAGGAGCAGGCCTGGTGGCCACGCCCCTCCAGACTGACTAAAGAGCTGAGCCAGAACATCTCTTAGCCAGTTCTTGTCAACCCACCAATAATTTCTGCCAAGCCCACCAGAGTTACACTGTCCTCCAAAAGATATCCTCTGGGGCAAGGCCTGGAATGATTGTCCTAGGTTGTCATTCTCTAGGGATGGTGTGACTGTCCTCTGTGCTCTATGAATCATCTGCTGCTGCCCCAAAGCCCTCATTGACTGGAAGTCCCCTGAATTATATCCTTTGAAGAGTCTCGAGTCAGACGGAAGTGCTATCTACTTACTCTGTGTCATGTATCCATTCTTTCTTTCATTCAAGAAACACCAAATGCCTGTCCTGCGTTAGCATCATGTCCAGGCTGGGGATTCAGAAAGCGAACAGTGCCTACCCTCAGGAAACCCCAGTCATGCAAGGGAGACAGCCAGGGTAACAATTCATGACAGGTCAGGGTGATAACAAAGGACAGCTGCGGGGCATTTGGGGGTCAAATAGTTTTTCTTTTGTCAAAATAAAATTCTCAACGGTTACAGATGGAACAATACTAATGGAGGTGTGCAACTCAAGAGGCATTAGCCTGCGGGAGCCTAACATTTTTGTAGATGTGGACTCTGCTTACACGTGGGAAGAGCAGGCTTAATTAATAGTACTGATAACGTGACTGTCAGATACAGTACTTTATGTAAGTGTGGAAGGAAAAGACACAATATGTGGAAGAAATATGTCACAAAAGGTGAACCTGAAATCTGAGCGTGTGTGTGTGTGTGTGTGTGTGTTCGCACACGCATGCGTGTGTTGTGCAGGCGGGGAAAGGATGTTCATTCTCCACTGGGCACTCAGTCAGCCCCAGTTCCCCTGTGTTATCTCAGAGATGGAGAGAAAGCCTGATGTCTCACAATAGACAGTCTTGGGTCATTATAAGATCCTTGCAGCCAGCTGTGGACCGGCGGCACCTCATTTTTCTTCTCCTGCTCCTAGTCACTGCACAAGGGCAGACACCTCGTTGCCCAGAACTTGAGGGCTCCCGAAGTTCAGAATCTGGGCCAGGCACCTTCATTTTCTATGCTCTGAGCTTGGCCATGGCTCTATGTGCAGTTCTCCAAATTCCCAGTTATCCAAGGACAAACAAAGGTGATTGTCAAAGGCAAATAGCACATCTCACAAAGGACATGATACAAAACTGCCAGGATCCAATGCTTTCTTTTGCACATATTAAATTTAAATTTTTTAGGTGATATCATTATTGAAATACTTTAAGCTACTGTAACCAGTCTCTTTGGGATAGCTCCCACTGACAGGCAGGTAAGATACAGAATAGCAGTTTCCCAAACTAAGAAGGCAGCTGGAATCAAAATTCTAACATTGGTCTCCTCAAGAGATGGACTACACTTAGTAACTTGCTGCCAAAGAGTACAGTATGGGAAGGGGAAAATATCCTTACAGTGAGAAACCTGGCAAGAACGACCTTGGCCAGGTGATCAAGGTGGGCAGCATCAGCGATAAGTCATGCTGATAGATGTACCCTTGATACCAGGTGATGAAAATGGCAGTTCACCGATGTAGGCCTCCTCTCAAATACACGTGAGAAAAATATCAGACAAACTCAAATTGAGGGGCATTCTACAAAATACCTGATCAGTACTCCTCAAAACAGTCAAGATCAGGAAAAACAAGGAAAGACCGAGAAATTGTCACAGCCAAGAGGGGCCCAAGGAGACAAGATGACTAAGTATAATGTGGTATTCTGGACAGGATCCTGGGACAGAAAATGGGAATCAGGAAAAACTCAATGAAATCCAAATAAAGCACGGACTTCGATAGCAATGTAGCAACTGGGTTCCTTAGTTGTAACAATCATGCGCATCAATGTAAGAGGTTAACAATAGGCGAATGGGGTGAGGGGGATACAGGAACTCTCAGTATTATCTCTGCAAATTTTCTGTTAATCCACAACAATTCTAAAATTGAAAGCTTATTTGTCTAAAGAGTCTGACGTTCAGTTGTGGTCTTTTCCAGTCGCTGGCAGCCAGCCGCTATGCAATGATGAGCACCCAGCTGAAGCACAACAATCTCTCGCTGGTTTTCCACTATGTTTTTCTCCAGATGTGTAAGGCCCACGGCATCGGCTATGACATTGAGGTATGAAGGGTACAGCTGGCCAGGACTGGACCAAATGCAGGCCTGCGGATGATCTAGGCAGCTAATAGTTTGGTGCCCCTTCAAACAGATATTCTTTAAGCGTTAGTTTGGCGTGCAGTCAGAGGAGGGCTGAGTGTGCTTGGGGAAGGGTGGAAAGGCAGCTCCACAGTGGGTGGCATTTGGTCCTGGGAAGTTGAGCTCTGTCCCCAGACTTGCAGACCCACCTTGGTCAGGCAGATTTAGGAGGCATTTGGGGGACCATCTCTTGTCTTGAAGCAGGCCCTGAGCTTCCTGACCCCACCTGAAGCTGCTTATCAGTGAACAGCCTTATTCTGCTCGGGCTGCCATAACAAAACACCAGACTGGGGGTCTTAAACAACACAAATTCCTTTCTCGCAGCTCTGGAGGCTGGAAGTCCAAGGGGAAGGTGCCAGTCAGGTCGGTGAGAACTCTCTTCCTGGCTTGAGGATGACAGCTTTTCTGCTGTGTCCTAACATGGCGGAGAGAAAGAGATCTCTGGTGTCTCCGTAACCTCTCTTATAAGGACACGGGTTCTACTGGAAAAGGGCTCCACCCTTATGACCTCACTTAACCTTAATCACTTCCTTAAAAGTCACTTCCTTAAAATCACTTCTATTTCCAAGATAGTCACATGAGGAGTTAGGGTTTCAACATAGGAATTTGGGAGCAGTTCGCCTGAGGGTGAGAGCTACAGAAAGGGACAGACAGAGAGGCACCAAAGACATAACTAGCATAGTTTAACAGGCTCTGCCTCCAGGTTGCCTATGCTAAACAACTTATAAAGTAAGAAAGGTGAAATAGGGAAGAAAGAGAAATATGGATTGTAGGTAATGGGGTGATAGAACTATATGAAGATGAAAAAGTAACAGAAGAAAAGAGAGAGATAAACTCCAGAGACTAGAAGAATCCGTAAAAGGGGAGGCAGCGGGCAGAGGAGGGAATAAACAGAAAGAAAGAAAGAGACCAAATAATAAACAGAAGTGGAAGAAGAGAGAAGAACAGACAGAGTCATAAAAATCTGAAGTGAGAAGAAGGAGCCATGTGACTACTTGGAAAATTTGGAAATTCTCCAACAATATCCTTGCTTTAGTTTTCCTGAGATGGGTTCCCATCTCTTCAGACCCTGGCGTCCATCCCAGGTCAGAACTCTCCACTTGTTCTTTTAATTACCTTTTCTTGGAGAGGCAGCTGATGAACCAGTGTTTACAGAGCACCCAGTATGAGCTAAGCACTATCACTTCACCAACTCTTTATTCTTCATATCTCTCCTGTAAGAAGCTAATATTTCTACCATATCACGGGGGAGGAATTTAGGCTTAAAGGGTCTAAGCACTTTCCCAAGGCATTTTGTAGACTGCCTGACTCTGTAATTGTCCATAAAGTCAAACACGATTCTTTCTCTTACGCCAAGGCATCCCCCATATGCCTTTTTCCCCCGAAGGGCTATACCTCTTCCATATATATTTCTAAAATATTATTACCAATTAAGTCCAAGAATTCTTCAATCCATTTCAAATACTTCTTATGTATTCTTATTATGAATACTTCTTATGTATTCTTCAGCTGAAGCAACACAAACTTCTCCATAGCCCCCATGACTATCTCTCTGTATTTTCTTACAAAAGAAAAAAAAAAGATGTGCTTAGCAATTAATTTCCCTAAAATTTTATTGCCTCCTTGGGTTGTGCTGAATCTAAAAAAAAGACCACTTGCCCTAATTCCAGTGTAACCTCTGCCCCCTGCTCCCACTCTTGGTCGAATTTAATGTGGATGCTCTTTCCAGAAAAAGAAGCAACGTTAACAATACATCATTATCAATGCTACCAAAAGAAGAATCCTCAAAAGTCCTTATTCTCAACATGTTTTTCTTCCCATCATTATCACAGAATTTCAAATGATATTTCTTGTCCAAAATCACAGGGGGAAAAAAAGGGAAATGAGATCACCCTGTGAGTTTATTTTTCCTTGCTGAATAGTGGAAGGAAGCATTGCTGAGTTTGTAACCAACTTGGTGGGTCTCATTCCTGGTATTTCTGTAATGCTACAAGATACCCCCACTGATTTCCTAATGAAATGAAGTTGTAATGAAAGCCATATGGAGAGAAGTGTCATGTTTACTGCTTGTGACAGTGTGGGGCAGGGCTGGTCTCACACATACATGAACAGTGTGCCATGGTCCCAAATAGCTCCAAAACCACCAGCGATCATTTCCTTAGGCCAGGATATTGCATGGTGGCAATCACTAGAGCTTTTCACAAATACTCAGATTCTCTTCCTTCCAGGCACATGATGGAATTATGCTTCCATATCGGACATCACGTAAAGGATGCAAGATACCTTGCAGATCAACTAGTCAGTGGTTCTCAACCCCAGCTGCCCATTAGAATGACTTGAGTGAGGAGCTTTAAAAAGTACAGATGCCCAGGCAGGGCTGGGATTAGGGTGAGGAAAGTGAGGCACTTAGCCAGAGCACAAAATTTAAGGGAGCACAAAAAAAAATCCTCAGTAATAAAGGTAAATAATATTGTTATGCAATATGTTAAAAATAAGAATTATTGCAAAAAATCCACAATGAACAAGATATCAAAATTTTAACTAAAAACATACTGATTTTTTCTTTTTCCTCAAGCTCCACTATGGCTCAGCATGGCACCCAGAGCCCACCCTGGACCAATTAAATCAGTATTTCTGGGGATGGAGCCGAGGCATTATATCTTTTGAAGCACTCAGATAATTCTAACGTGCAGCCTGCATTGAGAGCCACTGTTCTGGTCCAGTGTCTGTCCCATGCCCAGATTTCCTAATAAAATGGGGAGTCATGAGCACTCCAAATTCTGGCATGTGATATTTTTTACCAAATCCCCAAAATGTAGTTTTCTTTTTGTCCTTTCAGTGATGAGGAGTTCACAACTTCACGGGGCAGCCATTTCCACTATGAGACAACTCTAATGTTAATGTTTTATTTGGAGAAAACTGTTAAAAGATAATTTTCAAAAAAGGATAAAATCATGCCTCTCATACAGATACAAAGTTAAACACGTGATAAAGATTTTATTTAACAGAGAAGAATTAGGCAGGTGTTATAACCAGTGCAAAAAAGAATCCAAAAAAACAAACATCTTTATAGATCAGGAATATTGAAAGGAACAAGCAAATGGAGGCAAAACTGGTTTTTCCAGCAGGGGAACAGGAGAGGAAAATCAATTCAACCTCTACCAGACTGGACAGAATTTGCTTATCTCTCAGTCACCTACGACTTAGAGAGTTGATAAATATATCTCCCATGGAATCAGGGCAATAGAGTGTGGTTTAGACAACACATAGTTTTCCATTGGAGGACAAATTATTTTCCAAATAACAAATTATTTTCCGGTTTTTTTAATCCATTGCTGTTAGAGCAGTGGCTTTCAAATTTTGATGTGCATGAGAATCACCCAGGAAGTGAGCTAAAAGGCAGATTCCCTCCCAAAGATCCTGAGCTTGGACAATGGCCATGAAAATGCCTTTTTAGAGCCAGCCCTGATGGCCTAGCAATTAAAGTTCAGCATGCTCCACTTTGGTGGCCTGGGTTCAGTTCCCAGGCATGGAACCACACCACTCGTCTGTCAGTAGCCATGCTGTGGTGGTGGCTCACATGGAAGAACTAGAAGCACTTAGAACTAGAATATACAAACATGTACTGGGACTTTAGGGAGGAAAAAGAAAAAGAGAGACAGATGAAGATTGGCAACAGATGTTAGCTAAGGGCGAATCTTTCCCAGCAAACAAAAAAAAAGATTTTGAAAAATGGCTTTTTAATACACACACTAGATGATTCTGAATGCAGTTCTGAGGCTCAGACTTCAAAAAACACCTAGTCCTGGACAAGAGATAACAAGTGTTGGCAGGATGTGGAGAAAAGGGAACCCTTGTGCACTCCTAGTGGGAATGTAAACTGGTACAGCCACTATGAAAAATAGTATGGAGGTTCCTCAAAAAATTAAAAATACAACCACCATATGATCCAGCCATCCTACTTTTGGGTAGATATCCAAAGGAAACAAAATCACCATCTTGAAGAGATATCTATACCCCCACATTCGTTTAATCATTATTCACAATAGCCAAGATATGAAAGCAACCTAAGTGTCCATCTACAGATGAATGGATAAAGATGTGATATATATACACACAATGGAATATTATTTAGCCATGAGAAAGAAGGAAATCCTGCCAATTGCAACAAGACAGATGGACCTTGAGTGCATTATGCTAAGTGAGATAAGCCAGACAAAGACAAATACTCTATAATATCACTTACATGGTGCAACCTAAAAAACCAAACTCGTCGAAACAGAGAGTAGAATGATGGTTACCAGGGACAGGGGTTGGGGGAATTGGGGAGATGTGGGTCAAAGGGTACCAACTTGCAACTAGAAGATGAATAAGTTCTGGAGATCTAATGCACAGCACAGTGATTAGACTGTCTTATATATTCAAAATTGCTAAGAAACTAGATCTTAAATGTTCTCACCACAAAAACGAAATGGTAATTTTGTGATGTGATAAAGGTCTTAGCTAAAACTACAGTGATAATCATATTACAATATCTAAATATATAAATCAAATGTAGACCTTAAACTTATTATATGTAAATTATATCTCAATGTTATATGTAAACTATATCTTAATTTTTTTAAAAAAAAACTGTCCTAGAACACATCTATTCCATATTCTGGAGGCAGCCTTTCCAAATGTGTTTCTCACAATATTTGTAGGTAGCGGTACACTTCAATTCAAACAGTCTCAGTGGTCTTAGTATAGAACATTTTCTCTACTTTGCTTCCAACATAATATGCTATTTCTTTTCTCCCCATTCAAATTTTGTAGGAAAGACAAGGAACTGTTTTTATATTATACGAACACCTGAAGAGAGACAAGTTTGGAATGTTGTGAGTATGAAGTGTGTCTATGAGATGTAATAAGCTAAGAAAATAGACTATAACAACCAAGAAGAATGATGCTCCTCCTGCATTTTAATCAGCATGTTGATTTAACAGAAGTCTGTCTTGTTTTATGTGGATCGTCAAGTATTTCATAAAATGACTTTAGATGTGTCAGTGGGAGTTCATAAATATAATTGATTAATTATCCAAAATGGATGGGTAAGAGACTAGTTTGAACCACATATTACACTCAAACACATACACATACAAGGCACAACAATCTGACTGATGAGGAACCAGCTCAGATGTCCTGATTGTGGAAGGGCAGTTGTCATTCTGGAATGCTTAAAAAAGTGCTCTGGTGACTTGGCAAGATGCTCCCCAAAAGGCAGGGTCTGTAGCCCCTCCTCAGGTCCGGTTTCAGCCCTGACAGTCTTTTTTTTTTTTTTTTTTTTAAAGATTTTATTTTTTTTTTCCTTTTTCTCCCCAAAGCCCCCAGGTACATAGTTGTATATTCTTCGTTGTGGGTCCTTCTAGTTGTGGCATGTGGGACGCTGCCTCAGCGTGGTTTGATGAGCAGTGCCATGTCCGCGCCCAGGATTCGAACCAACGAAACACTGGGTCGCCTGCAGCGGAGCGCGCGAACTTAACCACTCGGCCACGGGGCCAGCCCCCTGACAGTCTTTTTAAGATACATTCATGCTAAGAAAAATCTTGCGAGCAGCATTGGGAGCTTTCTCTATGCTGCCCTGTTTCCCCCAAATTTCTCTCCAGGGCACTTTGGAGAACTGGCAAAATTGTCTCCTCATCTAGGACTCAAACCTTTAGAGCCACAGCCCTGAACTGTGTCTTACTCATGTCTTAGAATATGGTTATTTGGTACCTTTAAGTCATCCTAAATTGGGAAACTGTTTCTACCCTATATTTCTCTTCCTTATAACATCTACAGTGTATTGAAAAAGAAAAGATGAGCAAATATATACTTCTCTTCTTCGTGTTGCTTGATTTTCTCTGGAGCTTTAAGGAGAGGCTTTTCATGAGATGGCTGGGCTTGGTGTGGCTTTATTGCAATCAGGTCACATCCGGTGAAGAACGTTAGTTGGCCATATCTTTAGGAAAGATGAGGGTTCCAAGAGGGGATGACTTTACAGACCAGAATTTTGTGGTTTGGCTTTGCTGGGATAACTTCATACTGACTCTGTTTATACTGGGGTATTCCTGGGAATAGTGGAATTTGAGGAGAAATTTCAAGGAAGGGAAAATGAAGGAAATTCTAGATAAGATTTAATTAATAGGAAGAGGACTTAGAGTTCATTCAGTTTCTTGCTTCCCAACCTGGGAACCATGGACCCCAGGAGGCTGATGAGGGATGGTGACAGGGGCTTGAATCCATGTGTGGATCCAGATCATACAAACACAAACACACACACACGCACACACACATCTGTATATATTTTTTAAGTATGGCTCTCAATCTTTAGTATATATAAGAATCACCTGAGAGGCTTGGTGAAACTACACATTCCTTGTCCCAAACCCAAATTCGGATTTCATTGATCTGGGGTAGAGCCCAGGAATCTGCTGTTTTAAGAAGCATCCAGGATCTAATACATACTGACCCTGTAGCAGTAAAATACAAATCATTGTTAAAAATTATCGACTCTGAAATTGCCTTTGGCTATCATTCATTCTCTGAAAAGAAGAGATGCTAATGTTCATTAGCTATAAGGGGTAGGGATGGGCAGTCCTTGGATTTGGGGAATGTAACTTGAAGTTTGAAAACACTGATCTAGTTCAAGTCCTTCATTTCGGAGAAAAAGAAATAAAGACCCAAAGAGCTTAAGTAACTCTCCTCAAAGTCACACCATCAGTGAGTGGCAGGACAAAGAGCCCTGGTCTCCTGTCTTTGGGCCTAGGAAGACTTCTACTCCCACCCTGACCCAATGGAAATGCCAGCCAGGCTAGAAGGCAGCCATTCCAACAGGGTCTAAGCCGTAGACTCAAAGGTGACTTCTTTACAGGTAGAAACTGGCACAGAAGCAAGCCCCAAAGTTTTCTGCAGCTGCCTTAAAGGGTAGCTCTTCACCTTCACCCCCACAGGATAGAGCAATTTTTAAAAATTAATCCATTCATTTAATCTATTTTTTTCCTTACACTCAAAAAATAACTAGAAAAAAACACCCTGGAGTTTTGTTTCCAAGTTAAAACTTAACAACAATCTGGTTGTTCAGGAATGTTCACTGACCGCAGTATAATTCTACAGGATGGTTTGCAAGTTGTCTCTGAAATCTTGAAGTGTGTGTTCAGCTTTATAAAGGCAGCTGTTCATGAACGGGGCACATTCTTCTCTAAACACGGATGGGGCACACTCATAAGCAGCAGGAATCACTTGTAGACGTGAAATAGAAACTAAACCCCAGATAAGAAGTCTCCAGAATACTGAGGTGCACATGTCACCGTAGACAAGGGAATTGTTAGGCATAAATTAAACTTAGCAACAATTCTCTTAAACCGATTTAAACAATTTTTGAAATGAGCCAATACATCTGTCCTAGCTCAGTGGTAGCCTTTTGCTAGGAACGACGGAAACTATTCCTATATTCTGCTAAGTTGATTAATAAAAAATATTTATTACACAAATCCTTTTTGTTGACAAGTTAAAATGGAGCCTCATCTTTCATATCTCCCTGAAGATTGCCACCTTGTGAGATTGAAAATACTCATTAAATTCCATCACCAGACAGGCACAAATGAGAGGGTGATTGTCTCTAAGCATGTGAGGGGAATCGTTGGTAAACTCATTTGTTTGGATATCATTAACAGAACAATCGGTGAGAATCTCCAGGGGGTCCTCGTGACCTTTGCTCGCAATCTCTTCATCATCCATCAAGAAATATCAGCACCTAATATGCAAGGCGAGACCAATTTTAAGGTGAGGTGTTAATTAACTAACGATCCTGGTTAATTTCTATACAAGGGCTGAAAATACCTCATGCTGGATTGTAAACAAGTGCTAAATCATTTTTTTTTAATTGTAAGCAGTACATATTTTACGATGTGCAGGGTCAATATTGTAAGGTTCCCACTGAACCCGTTAGTTAAATTTAATAGTTTGAAACTTTGTCTTTGAAATATAGTAGACTTGTGTTAAGCTGCTGCCATTTTCCAAACCCAAGCTTAGAAGACAATGAGACTTTTTGATGTTGGAGGTGAAGTTGAAACGTCACAATGGAGCCAAAACAAAGACTGTCGCAGCCAAAAATCCTTAATATAATCTACCTACATATCAGATAACACAATGTCTGGCTAAGGATTCCTGGGGAGCCCAAGTTTCTAGAGCCAGAGAAGTTCTGAGACCTCAGGAAGGACCAGGTGTGTGGGAAGAAGCAGAAGAAAACCTCAGCTTATACATGAGCCTGCTACTCCACCCTGTTTCTCTAAAGTGGGGTAGATGTTTCATCACTAACATTTTGAAGCTTCCAAATGGCCTTTAAAGATCTTGGATCAGGAAATCCAGTCATGTGTAATTGACTAGATGTCTCTAAACTCTAGAAAACAGGAGCAAGATCTGTATAAGAGTTTTAAAAATACCAGCTGAACAGAGGTGAACACTTGGTACGGATCACCAGTGTCTGTACCTGATTCCCAGCTTGAGTCTTCATCATGTTTGAATGGGTCAAATAACTCCAAGGACTCAATCAGAAACCACATGTGATTCTTCTCTAAAAGGAAAGTCCAACAAAAGCTTGATGAAAATATAATTTTTAAATACATTTTTTTTCCTTGAGCTAGGGCCTGCTCCCTCTAGTAACAGTAATAATAATAATATTGCTTTACTCTTTAATGTGATTTTATGAATTGGAAGAATGACCATGGCTTTTCCCACAACATGACTCAGAAGATTCAATAAAAAATAGGCCCGATGTTGCATCATCGACTTTCATTGGTCTTAAAGGACCTATGCTCATCATTTATATTCTAAGTTCCTGCCAGCTAGCATCATTTCATCTGTTACCGTCATGTGCAAAACTCTGAGCCTGTCTATATGTCATCAGTTTAGTCTGTCCAAATATAGCTAACAATCAGAATCAGATGGTGCTATGGATTGAACTGTGTCCTCCCAAAGTCTGTGTATTGAAGCCTTAACCCATAATGTGATCATATTTGAAGATGGGGACTTTTGGAAGTAATTACGTTTCAATAAAGTTTATGAGAGTGGGGTCCTCATGATGGAATTAGTGCCCTTATAGGAGACCAGAGAGCTTGCTCTCTCTCCCTCCCTACCATGTGAGGATACAGCAAAAAGATGACTATCTGCAGGCCAGGAAGAGAGCCGTCACCAGGAACTGAATCAGCTAGCACCTTGGCTTTGGACTTCCCAGCCTCCAGAACTGTGAGAAATAAATTTTTGTTAAGACACCCAGTCTATGGTATTTTGTTATAGCAGCCTGGGCAGACCAAGACAGACGGTTTATCCCCAAACCACACAGACTTAGCAGACTCCAAGCTTGGACGTGAGGTTGGCAGAGCCAACTACCGTTGACAAAATGAAGCCTATTTCTCTGACCTTTGTCTGACTCCCCAAATCATCTCAATGTTTCTAGGATTCTCCAGTGAATCATTGTTACCTTGACTTTTCTACTCTTGCTAGAAGGTCTAAGGTAAAAACTTTAAATCTCAACAAAATAGGAATAATAGCAAAAACGTGAAAAGTGGAATAGATTCATTTTTAGTAGTATTTTCTGTCTACTATCCTCGTGACATTCTAATAAGTATTTTCGGTTTGTAAACAAGGATTTACCAGCAAAGTAAAGGCTGAATAAAAATAGAAGGTAATGCAGAAAAAGCATTTAACAAAATCTAACATCCTTTACTGATAAAAACACTCAGAGAAACTAGGAATAAAAGGTAACTTCCTAAACCTGATAAGGGCATCTAGGAAAAACCCACAGCTAACATCATAGTTAATGGTGCAGGACTGAAAGCTTTCCCCCTAAGATCAGGAGCAAGACAAGGATGTCTGCTCTCACCACTTCTATTCATCATTGTACTGGAAGTTCTAGCCAGGGGATTTGGGCAAGAAAAGGAAATAAAAGGCATGTAGATCGGAAAGAAAGAAGTAAAACTATCTCTATTCACAGATGACATGATCTTGTATACAAAAAAATCCTAAAGAACCGAGAAAAAACCTATTAGAGCTAATTAACAAGTTCAGCAAGGTTTCAGGACCGAAGATCAATATACAAACATCAACTGTATTCCTATACACTAGCAGTGAATAATCCAAAAGTAAAAAATTTTTTAAATTCCATTTACAATAGCATCAAAAAGAATAAAATACTTAGGAACAAATTTAACAGAAGTACAAGATCTGTCCACTGAAAACTACTATGGGGGATCGGAATTGGCCACCCCAAATGTGTCTCTTTGGCTTGACGATTTTTAAGAATAAAAGACTGAAAGAAACTTTGACCTTCCCCTCTCTAACTGCCTAAAAGCATTTGAGATAAAAGGCCTGTCCTGGGAACAGCCATCCCCATAGATAACTCTGGGTATCAGAAGACTGTGAGGGTCCTTGCTAAGCCCATTCTTATCAAAGTTCTGTCTACCAAACATTTGCTTTTCCATTTCCATGTGAATTGCCTACCTCCCCTTTGAAGTCCCAAACCACTACCCGCAACATCGTTCTTTGTCTTTAGCTGAAGATCATATTTAAGGTGGCAGCTTTGGCCATTCTGGTGAGTTGCTCAGTTTTCCTGAGTTTCTCCTGTGTATACATGTTATAAAGCTTTGTTTGATTTTCTCCTGTTATTCTGTCTCATGTCAATTTAATTCATAGACCAGCCAGAAGGACCTAGAGAGGGTAGAGGAATTGTCTCCCTCCCCTACGCTACAAAACATCATAAAAGAAAAAAGACCTAAGAAAATGGAAAGAGATTCTGTGTTCATGGATTGGAAGACTTAATATTGTTCAAACAGCAATACTCCCCAATTGATCTACAGTTTCAATGCACTTCCTATCAAAATCCCAGCTGGCTTTACTGAGTAAATTTACAAGATGATCCTAAAATTCATGTGGAAATGTAAGGGACCCAGAATAGTCAAAATAATCTGCAGAAAGAAGAGCAAAGTTAGAGGACTCATGCATCTCGATTTTAAAACTTACTGCAAAGCTACAGTAATCAAGATGGTGTGGTACTGGCATAAGAAAAGACATATAGATCAATGGAATTGAATTAAGAGTCCAGAATAAATCCATACATTTATAATCAATCGATTTTTAACAAGGTTGCCAAAACAATTCAATGGGAAAAGAATAGTATTTTTAACAGATGGTGCTGGACAAATGGATACTCACATACAAATTAATGAAATTGCACCTCTACTCCATGGCATATACAGAAATTAAGTAAAAATGGATCAAAGACCTAAATGTAAGAGCTAAAAGTATAAAACTCTGAGAAGAAAAACATACATATAAATCTTCATGACTTTGTGGTTAGCAATGCTTTCTTAGATATGGTACCTAAAGTGCAAGCAACCAAAGTAAAAATAGATAATAGATACAATGGAACATTATTTAGCCATAAAAAAGAAATGACGTTCTGATACATGCTACAACATGGATAAACCTTTAAGACATTATGGTAAATGAAAGAAGCCAGACATAAAAGGTGACATATTGTATCATTGCATTTATATGAAATGCCCATATTAGGCAACTCCATAGAGACAGAAAGTAGGTTAGTGGTTGCCAGGAGCTAGGGGAGGAGGAGAGTGGGGAATGGCTACGAATGGTTCCAGAGGTTCTATTTGAGGTAATGAAAATATTCTGGAATTACTTGGTAGTGATGATTGCTTGTGAATACACTAAACCCACTGAATTGTACACTTTATAAGGGTGAATTTTATGGTATGTGAATTCTACCTCAATAAAAAAATAACTAACTAAAATAAAATGGAAAGGTGCCATTTTTCTCTCCAGAAACCAATGGAAAAAAATACTCCCATCAGCCTACTAGCCCCCATTTTAGGATGGCTTGACCAGTGCTTCCAAAATTATCTGTAGGGAAGGACCTGCTTGTTTCATTTTTTCCAGTCTATCATGGATCAATACTTTTGTAAAATACAACAAAAATGAATTACTAGAAAAATGAAATGAAAACATTAGACATAAAATAGAAGCCCATTTTTTTCATTACTACATTTAATAGACATAAAAATTTCTAGGAAGGTTTCCAAGTTCTTACTTTCAACTTTTTTACTCATTTCATCAAGACTGATAACCAACAATTTGTAGATGGGTGCTGGTTGGTAGAGCACACTTTGAGTAGAACTGGTCTAAAGCACTCTTAACTCCAAAAAGAAGCAAATAACTGAGGGCCTCGGGGGAGGAGCTATAAGAGGTCTTTAAGTAAGGAATATTGTTTTTATTGTTCATTTACAGACCGCCATTGATGATATTGAAGACATTCTAGGAGTAACGGAGGAAAACAAATTGAGATTTCAAGAAGAGCTACAGTCCAAAGATGACAAAAACCTCTCTAAATCTGATAAATGAATGATCCTGGAATCCATTGCTGATTTTGGATTCCAATCTGAAGCGAGCTTTCCTTTTGCTGTTAGGAATAAAAGGGGGAAAGTTAGGTTGCTTTGTTTGCTGGGAAGCGTTATCAGAACGGGTTACAATCTAATGCTCTTTTGAAAAAATTGTTTATTAAGTGATCTTATTTTACTTATTAAACCAAAACCTATTTGTGTTTTCACTTGAGAGTGTTGAACAATCTCTCTTCCCAAACTCAGGAAGAAATAGTCTAACAAGAAAGTTACAAGACTTACTAATGTTGCTTCTGCATCAACCTCTTTATAAACTTCAGGATTATGGAGATTTTGTTTTATAAAGTTTTCTCCTCTTATTGTTAATAGTAATTTGTCTTCTGCATTTAAAAAATTGAATGAAGGCTTAAGCATTGCTATTTGGCAAAACACAAATGTCTTTTCTTTTTCAAGAAAATTACATTTGTATGGACTTTTAAAGCAACTCTTTATCATTCATTGTATTTTTATTGTACCAAGCCACTGTTGTTTGTTGTTGCCATTTTTCAAAAAGTAAGGTAAGCCAACATCTAGTTAACTAAAGCATCAGAATTTATCTAGGTGGCAGTATCTGCTCTTAGTTTAAGATATAGTGTAACTCAAGCCCTCTAGCTTGAATAAACATTCGTACTCTCTAGTTCTCCATTTAATACAGCAGTAGAATATTTACAAGCTTAATTCAACAGTACCTTTTAAGGGGCAAATTGTTAAAATTATGCAGTGCTGACACTAACTCTCCGCATTTGCTTCGTAATTATTCAAAATATTTCTACATCACCCAGCTTTACGAAAGGGTGAATATGCAAGTCACAACACCAAAATCACGTAGTTGTTTTAAAGAATGACCTTTATATCTTTAAAAATACTTGAGTGCGTTGAGGAAAGGAGGGGGATTTCTTTACCTATGGAATTTCAATAATTTTTAACTGTGCCTCAGCCACAGGCTGAGTTTCTACAATAAAATTAACATTTGTTGTGTGTGTGAGCTTTTGTTTTGCTATAGTTGGAAATACATTAATTAGCCAGGTTTCCTGTCTGTGCTAGGTACAAGGATGACCTCTTTTTCTTGCCAGATCGCTCTAGTCCATATGAGGGGCCCATTGTCCAGACACTTGACGGATAGGAAGTACTACATGCCCATTAGAGCCTCGCCTCGATTGAAGCCAGAGCAACATAAGGTCCAAGAGACTCATTAGTTCACTGGCACAATCGTGTCCTGAGAGTAAATGAAACCCTCTGTCTCCTTATGGCTCTCATCTGCTCTGGACTTTAAAAGAAAACTGTCTCTGTTTTGTTCAGCACAGCAGTGCATCTTTCACACGGTGAGATCCCCCTCCACAGGACACACCGGTAAATCTACGGGGGAAGTTTTGCATGTGAATTTTGATTAGCACTCTTGAGCCTCAAGCTGCTGGCAAGAGTAAAATGAGTTCACTCTCCGGGACCTTTTTTTTTCACTCACATGATTGGTTTCTCAAACAATGCACTTCCCTTCGATGCGTCGATCATTAGCATACCCCACAGAATGCCTGCTTCCAAATTCAGGCCTTATGTTCCGATTCAGGGCTCACTAGAAAGTGATTGGGAGTAAAATTCTCTACCCAAAAACCTACACATTTAAAATGAAAGGAGAAAAATTGGTATAATAAAACAATCACTTTGACTAATTAAGAAGAAGCCAGAGGACCAGATTAAATTAGTGAAAGGTTTTAAATACAGAACATTTGAAAAGAAGCATAGTCCATTATCCTTTAGCACATATATGTAGCAAAGATATTGTGCTATGGGTAAACTAAGTTTGAAAAAAAAGTCCTATGTGTGTGTACAATGTATCCTAAACACAAACTAACCGCGATGAATGGCTGAGCTTTTACTATTCTAAACAGGAAACTGAAATCTTTGTTGATAAGAGGATTTTTTGAAAATGATGTGCCACTTTTCAGGAAGTTTTTGGGAGAAGCATACATTTAGTAGAGCTATCTTTGTATGAGAAATGACCATTGTTTCATATTGAATGTTTACATTGGTTTGAGAAGCAAATGGTGCTAACCATTTAGGAGTGCGTTATTGGATAATAAGTCTCTCTCTTTACAACTACCCATTTTACATTGATTTTAAAGAAACCAAATAGATGATATTTAATGACAAACTGTCCTATCTACTTACCTACCTCCCACTATCTACTTACATTTACCTTTTATTGAACATTTATCATGGGCTAGGTGTGTACTGTACTAGAAGATTTACACTATTTTATGGCATCTTTCCGATAACCCCATGTGGGTAGGTACAACTACTGTCCTCATTTTACATATGAGGAAACTGAGATTTAGTGAGGATATCTCACTCCACGTCTCAGGCTAAATGAAAAGAAATTTGGGATTTGCACACTTTTAGCACAAATTCTAGCATGTTGTATAAAGTTCCGTTTTCACTTGTTCCAGATCATGCAGGGGACTTGCACTTTTTTATAACAAATTCTAGTGTGTTGCTTGAAAAGTATAAAAGGACAGTTTAACTTACACACACTTCCTGCTAATAAAACAAACTTGCACGACTGACAGCATTGTGAGGCATCACAATTATGTGATCAAAAAAATCAGGAGAAAAAAATTAAAAATAGAAATACAGTATGATCCAACTATCCCACCACTGGGTATTTATCCAAAGAACTTGAAATCAACAATTCAAATAGACTTCTGCACCCCTATGTTCATTGCAGCATTATTCACAATAGCCAAGATGTGGAAGCAACCCAAATGTCCATCAACTGATGACAGATAAAGAAGATGTGGTTTATAGATAGATAGATAGATAGATAGATATAGATACAGATATAGATATATACACAATGGAATATTACTCAGCCATAAAAAAGACAAAATTATCCCATTTGCAACAACATGGATGGACCTTGAGGGTATTATGTTAGGTGATATAAGCCAGACGTAGAAAGACAAACACCATATGATTTCACTTATATGTGGAAGATAAACAAACACATAGACAAAGAGAACAGATTAGTGGTTACCAGAGGGGAAGGGGGTTGGAGAGTGGCTGAAAGGGGTTAAGGAGCACATATATACGGTGATGGATAAAAATTAGACCATTGGTGGCGAGCACGATGCAGTCTATACAGAAACTGATAAATAACAATGTACACATGAAATTTCACAATGTTATAAACCATTATGACCTCAATAAAGTAATTTTTAAAAAAAGGAAATCAGGAGAAGAGAAAGCAGTGTCAGTAGAATTCTCCTATGGTGATGGAAACGTAAGACTTTGGTGGAGGAATGACTGGGAAGTCATGCGCTGTAATTTTGTTTGAAAGATAGGTATGAGGTCAAGAAACGGGAAGGATTAACAAAGGACTTCCAACAAGACATAGAGGAACCCGGGAGGAGTTTGGGGAGCATTATTTCAGCTATATGATCCTAAGAATTGCAAGTATAAAAAGATGTATTTTATCATAAGTAATATATTAGTAACTATCTGATAGCTTTAACAATTAATAATCACTTGTATTCATCTGGCACCTTTCTTCTAAAGAGCTCAAAGCACTTTACATTTGTTATCTCATTAATTCCCAACCCTGTCCCTGTGGGGAAGGTAACAAGTATTTTAACATTTAAATGTTTATCTTTCAGAATTTCTCAAGCATACATTAATTATATTTCCCAAAATGTAAATGTTCATTAGTTTTATTTTACTGTTCCCCTGGCTTTAATGCGCATAACAAGTTTGTTCAGCTCTTTAAATGTACTAATCATAGTAAATCTTATTTGGAAGACTATACATTAAGTTGCCAAGATAATGTGAGGGTGGAAGTTGCAGGGAGGGAGGAAGCATGTGACTTTGCTTTTCTCACTGGAAGAAGTCTGGTCCGATCCATTATTATCCATTGCCAAGTGCAGATGAAATGTGCTCTGGCTCTGTTGCATCTTTTCTGTATCCCGTTCTTTCCAAAAGGTGTGCCTCAGGATGGTAAGGACTGTGTCTAAAAGCCTAAGGCAGGTTGAGCTACTATTCATACCTTTGTTTTGTTGATGATTTCATCAATGTGGAAGAGAAACCTGATGCATTCTATTAGGAGTACATCCCAAAGAGTCACGGAATAATAAGGGCCAGAAAATAGTCTCCCCAGCCCTCCCTCTCTGAGCCGGTCATACCTTCCTCCAGTTTCTACCAGAAAAATGGCAGATAGTAATACCTGCTCCTTAGGGAAGCAGTGGAGATTAATTGGCCAATGTTGGGACAGTGTGTCAAAGATGAAGCATTCTACATAAATGTTTAAACATTATTATTACATTGCAACTTCAAATGGAAGTTCTAACTTTGAAATGTGATTATACACTTTCCCAAAAAATCCCTTCATAACCACATATATAGGTTTATTTTTCAGCCTAACAGTCTAACTCATGGTTGTGAAACTTTATTGCATTTGATGGAGGGCCCTGGCTTTTATTAGTTTTAAACTGCTGGTTTCTGGGGTATTTATGTAAATGAGGGAAAGATACCAAAACAGTAAATAACAAGCACGTCCCTGCTGTTTAAAAATCTGTTGGTAACAACAGATTTGTTATAAGAAGACCCTAAACATAGCCCAGGAAAATATAGCCTTGGTATCTATGCATAAAACAGTGTTTTTGGGTTTTCTGGTTTTTTGATGGTGGTTTTCCCCTAAGCATTTCTTTACCATTCTGGAAACATTTTGCTTCACTTCCACAATTGTCACCATATATATCATATATATATATATATATATATATATATATATGTGGGTATGTATGTATGAAAAGAGAGAGAAGTGAGTAAAATGCTACATTTTAAGATTTTTTTGTTTAACAAAATGTTAGAAAGTATACCAGATGGCTAATTATAGCTCCAGGAAACAAAAGGCCACACCTCAGTTTATTGCAGTTGCCCCATAAGGAATCACTGGAAACTACCCAAATGTCTACCAACAGACTTTTGGGTATTGGGTAAACAAATTGTGGGATATCCTTACAATGGAATACTGCTAGGCAATGAAAAAGAATGAGCTGTTGATAAACTCAAAGACAGGGATGAATCTCAATATAATTATGCTGAATGAAAAAATCCAGACAAAAAAGTGTACATATCCATTTATATAACATTCCAGAAAATAAAATCTACAGTGACAAAAAGCAGATCCATGGTTGCCTAGGGGTGGGAAGTGGGGTGGTGGGGATGAGGAGGAGCAGAAGGATTACAAAGGGGCATAAGGAAAATTTTAGGGGTGATGGATAGCTTCACTATGTAGACTGTGAAAATGGTCTCTCACAAGTATGCATATGTCAAAACTTATCAAATTGTACATCTTAAGTACATGCAATGGTTGAATGTCAACTACACTTCAAAAGCTGTTTTTTAAAAAATCATGTATTAGGAGAATATGTTATATCAGAAGAAAATGAAATGATATTTAATTACTATTAAGTAAAGAAGCATATTTTAAAACAGAAGGAAAACTGTGACTCCAGTTATGGCTTTTGAAAAATGTGTATATGTATATGTGCACACATGCACACACATGCACACGAGACTGTAAAGATAATTCCCAAAATTAACAGATTTATTTTTTATCTGTCTCACCCAGTGGATTGTAAGTGTAAGGACATAGCCCTGGCTCCTAGACAATACCTATCCATAGTAAGAGTTGCTCGATTAACATATATGTTGCATTTGTTCTTTTATCAAATATATATTGAGTTCCTATTATATAGTCTTATCTTTGTGTATATAATTTTTTCAATAGGATCATATCAGACATACTGTTTTCCAGACTGTGTTTTTCACTTAGCAATAAATTATGAAGGCACACCGAAAATTCTTACCCACTGCGATTTTAATAATGGTATAAAGGATGTTAATAATTCCCCTATTGTCAGACTAGTACGTGAGCATCTTGATGCATCCTTCAAATACATATCTCATTAATGTCAACCAGCTAAGATATTAATAATATTAACAATGCCTTGTACTCATATGGTATTTTATAGTTTACGAACAATTTTCACAACTCATTTGATCCTTACAATAAACTCAAGTAAACAGAGCAGAAACTCAGACAGGTTAAATAATTTCCCTAAAATAATAAACCAGTAATAGGAGTCCAGACTCAAAC